ATACAAATAAACATTTTTATAAATTCACATAAATCAACAATTATACGACATACAACAGTAAATATATAGTATAAGATAAATATATTACATATTATTTACAACCATCGGCAATTAATATTGACGATGATGCGTGATTAGTGATTACTAATTAATAATTAACGAAAATTCATTATTATTGTATACCTATAAATACTTGTTTGATCATCTTCCATAAGAATAACCGTAAACTGGGTAACGGTTTCGATATAAATATACATTTTAATGACTGTGAATAACATAACGAAAATTGAAAGTACTTATACCTATGCATGACACAAAAAGTATGTCGTTTACTCTATATTGTAATATATTAAATGTATCGCTTACATTTAATATTTTTCAAATATTAAAAAAAAAAAATTATACTTTTCTAATTATAACAGACGAATTATTGTATAAGCACCACGAGTACAATGTAAGTAATAAGTATAACACAGATATAATGAAATAAAAAGTGTATTAGGTATTCAGATATATATAATAATATGATGTATATAAATATGCAACATAAAAGACTGAAATATTTACAAATAATATTAAAACTCGCTCAGAAAATTAAATGATAAAACTTTTTTTATGATAGTTTAATTATGATTTGCTTTCATAAACGTATATAAAAGTAGTATAAAAGTAGTACCTACCAAATATTATTAATTATATGAAAATAAGTTTTATAGTAAATAATACAGTGTCATTCCTTAAATATGACCAGTACTATTATAGTCCACAAAGCAATATATTATCAAGTGTAACTCCAAATGATCCATTGTGAAGACAGTGACGTTTGCAGTAGTAAAAATAAGTTAAATTGCAGAAAACTAAAAGTCGAGTAACACAGAACGACAAAGAACATTTGCATTTAAATTTAAAAGACAAGGAACTGATTATCGTGCATTTGTGATGTGAAAACAGATAAACGATATTTAATTAAGAATTCTAAAATAATGATTCATCTAAATTATATATAGATATACAACAACGACTGGAAACTCGTCCGATCGAACAGTGTTAAACACTTGAATTAATTTTATGGAATAAGTTCAATAAGTTATAAAATTGACGATAAATAAAATTATCAATTATAATAATTGAAATAAAGGTATTTTCTTAAATTTGGTTACTGATCAACGATTAACATCACATATAGTATTTAACCGTCTGATAAATGTCTATCGATTTTTTGCTATTTAAAAATTTCAAAGCTTAAAAATGAATGTCGTTGACTGCTACATAATGTAAGAACATAAAAAATGAATACAAGTATATTATTATCACAATGAGGAATATAATGTGTTACCCGTGTCACACAATGATGCAAATAGGTAGAAGAGGCTTGATAAGATTAAATACTTATAATATCTAAAAACCTCCCAAAGAAAAAAAAACAGAATAGAATAGAATATATTTGTAGGTGTGTTACAATACAGGATTATTTACTACTAATATACTGACATACTCGTACCCTCTATTTTCTTCAATAATACACGTCTAATTCTTGGAATTTTTAAAAATAATCAATGATCATATTTTTTAATTGTTGAAATTTTTATACTACTTAAGGAGTGTTCTATATGGAAATAAAAACTTCTATTTAAATGGAACTTTACTGTTCGATTGTAACTCATTTATTGGACAATTTTTTTTTTGAAAATTTTTCGTCAAAATCGAAATTTGTGCAATTATAGTTTTTAAATTATTTAGTTTTGTGCTTTAAGGATAATAAGTTCATGATAATATGCAGGGTTCGAAAGATATAAGGAATAAGATGGCTTGAAAATTTTAATAATTAATATTAATCTATTAACCATTATAATTTTTAAAAATGATACAAGTATAATAAACTGCACTAGGTATTTAATATTTTTGTTAAACAATTTTTAAGGATTTTTATCCTTATATAAACATTTTAATTTCTGAAAAATTACTCGTTCGAATATTTAATTAAGAACATCATGTTTAAATAAATTATCCTCTAAATAATTTACAGTAAAAAAGAATTTTTCATTTGAAAATCAAAAGTTTCTATCGTCAAAGAACACTCATAATTCATAAAGTAATATAAAAAAAAATCGTAAAAATTTAAATATATAATGTACGTATATTTAAAAATGTATAAAATCATAATTTAAACCGCTATTAAACGAAAAAAATAATGATAAAAATCCTTGGCGAATCACCCTGTTTATAAATTACATGTATAACAATTTAGAGAAAATATAAATACACTTAAAATCGTGTTCTTTTTTTTTTTAATTGTCGAATTCTATAAGTTTAATACAAAGGAATACATAAGAATATTTTTTCCTCCCGTTCAGGTCACTAGATTTACAAGAGTTTGTTCGTTTTTAGGCATCTTTAATTTACAAGGGCATGAGTAAGTATATAAACTGAGAGATTCAGGCGGGTCAGGTCAAGTGCAGCGGCAGTCTGTACAAAAAAATCGCAGCCGGTGTATCATATTATAACTGTTATTGTCGTATCGACAATCGACATCCTTTTCGCCGGCACGGATAAAGTTACTGCCACACCGAAACGATCTCGTTGATAATTTATACTATTATTACCACGTCAATCGATCGCGGGGATCGATTTATCGTATTTTTTCCTCTCTCTCTCTCTCTCTCTCTCTCATTCTCTCTCAAATCTCTCTGCCGTTCACGTCGGACGTCCTAATGGATATTTTTTTTTTTTTTTTTTTTTTTTTATTTTTTTTTTTTTTTTATTATTATTACTATTATTGTTTTCCACATGATATTCTCGTGTTATGTAACACACACGTAATGACGACGACGACGACGATGATGCAATACTAAGTGCAACATCCGCAGACCGATAGCGCGAGCCGCCGTGCATATTATTACGGGAGCGCGCGGCGATATTATTACGGTCGTTATAACGGCGGTTGGCGAGTCCGTAAAATCGAAAAATCGATCGAAACACACAAAACCGCCACCCTCCCCCCCCCCCGGACGGGCGCACGCGCGCGCCGCTCGCACGCGTTTTATATACGCTTCGTATAACGGCGGCGGCCGCGTTATATCGGCTGACAAACTTCGATTTCATATAATACGTTATCGCGACGGCGGCCCTCCGTCGTAAGCGTACGTACGGTATTTCGCCGCCGCACGAAATATTACTATTTTATGTATATCGCGTGCGCGTGCGCGCCACACACTACACAGGGACAACTAGACTCGCCACTGCACCGGCACACACGCACATGCGCGCACGCACGAACACGCACAGCATGGTAATATCCGTGTGTGTAAAATATTACGGACAGGCGCAACCCTCCGCGAGTATTATAATATTGCGTGTACGCGCTCGCCCGTGTGTGTGTGTGTGTGTGACGGTCGCCCCGCGTGTCCAGCTGCACACACGACGATAGGGTGAACGCGCGCGTGTTCCCCTCGCCACCGCCCCGCGTCAAGTGTATATTCGCGTACGCACGGCGCGCGCGCGCGCTCGCCATTGTCGGCGTCGCGGCGGGAGGGTGTTTCGCCACCCCTCCCCGCGGCACCGGCGCAACCCGCCCACGATCCGTGGCGACTACCCGCCGCCGACTCGGTGTTTTTCGTCGGCGGCGCTCAATTACCCACCGAAAACGGATCAATATATTGCTCGGCGTGTCGTGTGCCGCCCCGCGCGTAACTCCGGCCCAAGCCGCCCGGCGCGCTTTACGACGTATAGCTTTGCGTAGGGGACGACGCGTACACCGGCGGTAGTATATAGGAGGGTGGCAGCAAAACGGTATATGGGTAGGGGAAAAAAGTGTATAATGACGAGCCCCCGGAAAATAGTAATGAAAAAAAAAAAAAAAAGAAAGAAAGAAAAGAGTAATAATAATAACGCGACGCGCGTATTATTATAATACGGAACGCGACGTTGTCCACGCGTGTCGCCTCCGCCGCACGCACTGCACGCACGGAGCCAGTATACGCGCGCGTAAAAAAAAAATCTCTGCCGAACGCCGACAAATACGATATATCGCGTCGAGATCCGAAATACGATATCGCGCTTCAATAGCGATCCATCGGCCGATCGAAGCGGTCGCCGCGACAGCGCACACACGTCCGCCACCGCCGCCTCCGCCGACGCTCAGTGTGTCACGGTCGAAACGCGTTCGATATACTAACCCGCGTACGACATCACCGGCGCGATATCGGCGATAGGTACCCGCGCGTTAACGCGACACTAATAATAATAATAATAATCATACGTTTCGCGATATATCGAGACCGAACGAAAAATCGCCGGCTGCGATCTCGCGTATAGGCCGTCGTCGTTCGTTTTCGCGTCGTCCGCGTGTTTTTTTGAGTTTAAAATTTTTTTTTTTTATTTTTTTTTTTTTTTTTTTTTTTTAATCGTACTTTGACGCGCCTACGCGCGCGGTTTACGCGCGAGAGCACGGCCGGCGGCCACTCGAACGCGGACGCGTCGACGATCGGCGGTGAACGCTCGTGCGGGGTGACGAGACATGCACCCGTCGACGCTGCCGGGCAGTCGCGGCGCCCGTCCCGTGCCGTCAATAACGCTGCGGAATCGTTAATAATAATTGTTATCGGATCCCGGACGGAATCGTGTTTTCGCGCCCATCGATCGGCGTTAATGAATTTCGCCGATGGATTTCCAGTAGCAGCGGTACGACGCGGCAGTGGTCGCCGCCGAATTCGCGCGCAACCCACACGACGCCGGTAAAGCGCGCGCGCACGCCACCACCGACGACGACCGCGACGACTACGACGACGACGACGACGACGCCGCCAACGACGCTGACGACGACGACGCGAATCCGACGCGCGCGGAACCACCGTCACACGCCGCGTAGGGCGCGCCGCGAAATGTTTTCGACCTCCGCACCGATGCGCTGTCGTTCCTCCGGCACCGGCCGACCGCCGCCGAATAGTGCGTGTGCGCCGCACATAGGTACCGCATCGCGGTTGGCGACAGCCAGGCTCGCCTCGTACTACACGTGGTGAGCGTATTCAGTATATAAACGATCGTACATACGTGTGTGCACGTAACGCACGCGTAACACAAACGCACGCGGGACAAGGTGTCCCGCAGTATTTGCGTTGTGCGTGTGCCCTCGCGCGGCGCGTGACGACAGTACGAGACACGCGGAACCGGCGAACGTTCTTCGCCGGATGGAAAACGTTCACAACATGGCGCCAGAGTCGCCTCTCAACGAAGTAGTGGTCGAGACAATCGATTCGCCACAAGACGTGCGGGTTCACGTCGACGCCGGTCGGCAGTCCGCGTGCCCCGTCGCCGAGCCGCCACCGACACGCGAACTGTGCATCACGCGAGTGCCGCGATCGCAGCCCGCCAGCAGGATCGTTTGCCATGCACGTTGTTCGCGACCCGTCCACCACGACGACGACTCGGACGAAGACCTGGACGACGACGACTTGGACGAAGAAAACGACGACGACCACAACGACCACAACAACCACCACCAGCAGCAGCAGCAGCACCATCAGCAGCAGCACCACCAACACCACCACCACCACCAGAACAACCGGGGTCACCAACACCAGCAGCACCACCAGAACCAGCACCACCAAGCCCACCACCACCAACAACACCACCAAAACCAACACCATCCGCACCAACAGCAGCAGCAGCAGCACCATCACCAAAACGCCGACCGATCGCCCGTCGAGAGTAACGGTGGCGGCAGTCGCCGCGGCGTAGGCGGTACGGTCGTGGTCAGAGGCGGTTGCGGTGGTGGCGGAGGTGGAGGCAGTAGTGTCATCGTCGAAGACGCCAAACCTCCCGAGAGCACCATCACCGTGATCGTTCACCATCCAGACGACGAACGGGCGAGCCGATCGTCCAGACTCAACACCAGGCATTCCGTCAGCGTGGCCGGCATGATCGAGGCGCAAGACTACCATCGCGGCTCCGGGAGCGGCAACAACAGTGTACTCCAGCTGCACCACCAACAGCAACAACAACAGCAGCAGCAACAGCCCGAACCCACTTACCAGACGCTCACGTCGGTCAACGGCAGGATGTCGCCGCCCGGCTACAGTCCTAACTCGTCGTACGCCACGCTTACGCCGCTCCAACCGCTGCCGCCCATATCGACCATGTCCGACAAGTTCGTGTACGGTCACTCCAACAACGTGTCCGGTTCGTTCACGGTCATGCAGAACAACATCGGCGGCATGGGCATGGTGGTCAACAGCCCGTACACGTACGAAAAGTTGGGCATGCACTCGCCCAACCACTATTCGCCCACGCACATGCATCACATGCCGCAGCAACAGGGCTCGCCGATATCGCCGCAAAGTGCTTCGTACAGTCAAAACGGTGGCGGCGGTGGAGGCGGTGGCGGCCTCAACTCGCCGCAGAAGAGTATGTCGTCGCCAAACAGCTGCTACGACTCGCCGTACACGCAGATCGGCCCTGGCGGCCGGTCGGGGGGTGGCAACGCGATGCACAGTCCCGACATGAGTCAAAACTCGGGGTCGCTGCACTCGCCGCCGATGTCCAGTTACGGCGGCACTACCACGCTGTCCAACGTCAACGGGCTGACCACCATCACGCCGCACCCCGGCCGGGGCGGTGGCGGCGGCGTCGTCGTGTCTCCCAGACACTCCCCGTCGCTGGTAATACACCCCATCATACAGCCCCAGGAGGTGGTGGTCACCACGTCCTCGCCCTCGCCACCCGACCACTCGCAGAGGATGCAGATGATGCACCAGCAGCAACTGCAACAGCAGCAGACCACGCTAATCAAGACACAGTCGATCACCACCACGACCACGGTTTTGGTGCAGAACGCGTCTTCGGCATCCGGTTCGAACGGCAGCGGTTCCGACATGGAGGAGATCAACACCAAAGAACTGGCGCAGAGGATCAGCGCCGAGCTGAAGCGGTACAGCATACCGCAAGCGATATTCGCGCAACGCGTGCTATGCCGGTCGCAGGGCACGCTATCCGACCTGCTCCGAAACCCCAAGCCCTGGTCCAAGCTGAAGTCCGGCCGGGAGACGTTCCGCCGAATGTGGAAGTGGCTCCAGGAACCCGAATTCCAGAGGATGTCGGCCCTCCGCCTGGCAGGTACGCACGGTACATACGATTTGACATTGATACTTACCTATATATTATAATTTATTGCAAACTTGACATCTATTATCATCGTAACGCATAAATTGATATGATTGTATTGTTGAAATAATTTGCCGCGGGTCGAATGCGTATAATTGACATTGTTATTATATTATTATTATTGTATGCCCACGCCGCACGCACACAACACGTGGTTATCGATTTATTATTATTCTTCTGCCTCCACGCGAGTATGTTTGTATGTGTATGTGTGTGTGTAGCGTTTGAAAACGCTTTTTTTTCACGAAAATTGCAATTTTTATTGTTTTCTTCCATTTTGGCCCGACTCCGACCGCTAGACAATCCAAAACGTACTACTAATAATAATATATTAAATCATATTTTTGATATTTCCATATGACGATGTACCTATGCTAAGAAACACGCATGACGATAACAATACGCGTCGTGTTGTCGGGGGCTTAGCGATCTATTCGCATAATATTTTAATAATATCGTCCAACTAGGCACTATACGCTGTGGCTTTGCACTTTGCACACCGAACGGGTACGCTCTCTGTACCCCTCTCCCCCCAACACGCGCACCACACCACAATAGCCCCTCCTCTTCGCCGCCGCCGCCACTGCCGTAACGTCGCCCTACTCCGCATCCGTCACCTAATCGGCAGCGCCGCCGCCCTCCACCATCTGGTATAGTGCACTGCGCTCGAGAGGAGTGCTCGACGATCGTTTTCCGCGTCAGCCCGACGACGGCGAGCACCAGCTGCCGCTCCGGCCGAGTGCGCGGACACGGTGCCGTAACGGCGACACTTTCCAGCGGCGACCGTTCAATCCGTTTCGGCCGGAACACCGCGACGACTTACTGTCGATTACGAGTGGACTATATGCGCACCGCCATGTATAGCATATGCTACTATATACGATCGCTTTACGTTTCCGGTTCCGGAACAATAGTTTCGCAACAGCAGTATTGTCCGCGAGTAGGTGTGACATACAGCCTACGCATATAAATCAAGTCGAATGGCTTTTTTTCATTTTTCGTATCTAAACGATTCGCAAAACGTGCACGTCGTAAAGGCGCTGACGATAAGAATTACAACGTTAACGACAAAAGGCGTCGCGTATCGTCGTTATAGGACAATAAAAAAAAAAATTCAACCCGTCACGCCGAGTCACGGGTCCGCGAGTCACGTATATGGTATGTGTATGTACGATGTCCGCCGGGGGCCACGATGACTTACATTACTGTACGTGAGTGGTTATGAATTTGAACCGCGACCGTTGTTTATTTACCAATAATAATAATAATAATAATAATAATATTACTGTACTCGCATCCGTTCCCCATACCGCCGTTTCATATAGAATTTGTTTTCTTCAAACTAATCACTATACGTAAATACCACCTATAACCCATTTTGATTCGTAATTTTTTTCGATTCGTTCTCCAAGGACAATTCAATTATTTTGTTCGTGCGCCTCGAACTTCGAAAACTCCCCTCTACGTTTACCCCTTACGCGCACCCCCATATGGCCATATTATCCATGCGGCCATATGGCGTATTGATGTGCCCACAGTGGTTCGGAAAACGCATATAATATTTCGGGGCAGAACTGTCGACAACAACGACGAAACCCGAAAATAAAATACGCGACATAGCGGCTATTACGGCGAGGACGATGATGCCGCGAGCGACGTCCGGAACTCTTACGGTGAATGTACATCGATACTACGATGTACGGATGTACGACAATACGTGACCGGAAGAAATTTGAACGCAATAATATAATACAATATCGTAGCGGCCGTCGCGGTTCCCGTATATCCGTTACACGCCGGGGTGCCTCTCGTTCTATCCCATACCCTCTCTCACGCGCTCTCGCGTTGTTTCTCGTTGGTATACACCGACGATATTATTATGATATGCGCACCATTGTCCTTGCTCGCGTTTCGTGCTCTATCCGTTAAGACAGGTGCTCTGTAAAGGATATATTTTATAATATTATAATAATTTCGCCGTGTACACCGTGCGCCAAGCGGTGTGCTGCACGCCCGCGTCATCGTCATAATAATAATAATAATAATAATGATAGTACAATATTATTATGCATAGAGACGGGTCACATTTCACGCTGAACGAATGAGGTACCATCACGAACTACGCGTCGCTATAAAACATTATTGTCATATCGCTGTTGTCGAGGACGGTCTTCGTTCCCGTCATCTGGTTTTCGGAATTTCTAATTTTCGATCGTGTACTTTTTTCGTATCACTAACGATCACGTAGAGTACACATTTTTATTTTATTATAAACACGCGTAATACAAGTGTGAAACCTTCGAGAATAGTTTACTATATCTAATGTAAAACGTAGCTTTTCCACGGCAAATTTGTCGTGGACTATGCATTACAAATACTGGACTGTAGGCGTGTAATCAAATTTTTGTATACACCATTTAAATTTTATTACGAATGTTTTATTATTATAATTATTATTTTCAAAGACTAGAAAATCGTTTTAAACATTTAGACACAGTGGATTGGATAATACAAAATATTGTTGAGATATAATTTACAAACACAAAATATAAATAGCTCAGTAGATACATAAAAGTATAGTGGATCCTTTCTATCTACGTCACACTTACTTGTGTTATAATATTTTGGATTTGTTTCATATATTTCGTCGTCGATAGGATATCTCTTGTTCGTTGTATGATAGTGATTTACTTAGATCTTGCAAACAAAAAAAAACTGATTTCGTATGGATTGAGATAAAAATGATCATGATTACAGATGTTATACACTACACTAATGATATCGACCACATATAAAATATCCGTAAATAATAGTCTTATTTTATAAGTAGAAATGTATTTTTACATTTCCATAAGTAAACTTATAATGTGTAATAACTACAATGATTAGAAATCATTAGCATGCCTAAAAAATGATTAATTTGTTTATCTTATAGAACAAAACATATTAAACGCTTATTTTATATTATATTTATTACGATTCATTTACCTACATACCTATTCACTATGTAATAATGTGATATTAATTGAATATAAACTTGTTCGGATTATGGAAATTTAATCATAGTCCGATCCGATAATTTATTCGATTTCATAACTCACTTAAGCCATCATCATTATTATTATTTGTAATTACTATTAGCGTTTTTATTATTAGCAATGTATGTTAATCCAGATTTGTAAAACAATTTCTCTCCTTAAAACTTTTCACGCTTTTTAATTTAACATCGATATATAAGCGCATTTTACATGATATGTGAATACTTAATAATAAACATTATAACAATGCCCAAGGCATTTATAAAATTCACTTATATTGTTTATAAATATAGTAAAGAGTAATTCACGGTATCCTTTTTTTGTCCATGAAAATTAAGAAAAAAAAATAAAACAATAATATATTATGTTGAAAAGATGTTGACAACTACGAGTGAAATAATCACACCAATTATCAAGATTGTTTTTACTTTCTTAAAAATGTATTAAGTATTACGTCTGATTAATGATTATAGATACTTGTCAATGTTAAGCTAACTAAAAAACGTATGCTGTCATACATTTATTTTTATAATTTAAAATCACTATATAAAAAAAAATCATCAATAAAACACCATATTTAATACAATATAACATCAATTTCGATGCGAGTTCGTTTAATACCTTATTATATAATAATATTAACTATTCAATTTTTTTGTACAAGTAACCTAATATTATGTAAATTTCAAATCTATAAACGAAATATCATACGACATAACTTAAATGAATTGAAACAAAAAATTGATTTTTTTAAATAAATAGGTATACGCCAATCGACAAAACAACAAATATCAAACGCGCACATTTTACACCAATCAAAAGTGTACAAATTACCTTTAATTCTCAATATTTTAATCTATAACCTATTTTTATTTAATTATTTGCTTTATCTGTTTTGGCTTTCTTATTCTATATTTGTATTATAATATTTATTATTTTTACTCGCTTTTAAAATACCTTACTCTATCGCTTATCTATTATACTCATATATTTATTAACATAATTTGTTTAAATGAAAAGAAAATAGCTTATAGTTTTAAAATTTCAGATGATTCTTCTTCTAACCTCGGTCAAGACTTAGAAGGTAAGTTACGTTTTGTTTTATTATTAATAGTTTGTAGACATTTAATATAATTATACATCCAATTATCATAAGATACCTACGTCTTAATAAAAATCAATGAATGCAAAAAAAAATAAATAACTGAAATGCAAAAATTTTAAGCAAAACATAAAACATTATTAAGACCAATAAAAAATATTCTAAAATAATTCAATTTAATTTTATATAAATTTTTTACTCGATTTTTTTTTTTTTTATATATATAAATAATTATGAAGTATCTAATCAAAACAATTCTAAATTACATCTGATTGAAAGTTATTTGGGCGTGTATACGAGTTTAACTCGTGTTTATAATATTATATTTTATATGTTCCATAATTTTATAACTCTCCAACATTTTCAATTTTTATCGTCTTAATTATACGAAGTCATATTCAACATAAAAACAAGTATTAATGTATTAAATATAAATTCTTCCGAATTGTGTGTGATAAAAATAGTGAGTATCGCATAAGAATAAACGAATGAATTTGGAAGAATTTGTATAAATAATTATCTAAATTACGGATAGTTAAATAATTATTCTTAATATATATATATTAAATAAATATGTAATTTTATAATAATGTACATCTCTCTCTGTACAACATACGTTTGAACGTATTATAATCTTACGTAGATAACTCATACATTTTAAAATCGTGTTCGAATTATAATTAGAAATCGTATTTTAACGATTGACATTATTATTATTTATACTCGATTCTTAAAATATAGACATTTTGAAAATCAATTAAACAGTGATGAAGATATTAATGTTCTTGAATCACACAAACGCGTGGGATGCTCATCAATAAGATATCCTATAGAGCTGTGCATTATGTTATTATACTGTGAATATTCTGTTCGATTTCCCCACGATAATGCTAATGTCCGGATCGTTTTGCATAAAATTTATTAAAATAAGAAGGATAAAAATGTGCATTAGAAACGTAGTGAACTTAAACACCGCGAGGAGAAAAACGAACGGGGACAGTGACCTGCGCCAGTATTATCAAAGTCGCCGTTGGCAACACCACAAACGCTCGAACATCAAGAGCATCACCCCCGTAGTTATGAAAAGGGACTGTTAAAAATGACGTCACCGCTTTTTAGAAGGGAGTGAAGTGAATGATGATACCAAACGACCAAATACGCATAGGGGAACACTACTACGTTCACTGAACGTTAAGCTATCGAAAAGGTTTTTTTTTTTTATTCATTCTGAAATCCTAATAATGTTAATGCTTATGATTTTCAAATGCAATACTTAATTTAAAAGAAAACGCACGGAAATATTGACACGGAGCTTATCAATTTATATTTTATTATTACCTATAAAAAGTCAAACTTCTTAATGTCACACTACAATGGCACAACGTTTCTGAATATTTATATAGAATTAAATCGAAGATATAAAACGTCAACTGAAAATTGACATTTATACCATGGTTTCTCTGTCACACAATATTTTTATATACACCTATTTATCTTCTTTTTTATTTTATTCCCCACAATTCAAAACGATTTTGTGCATTGAACCAAATAATAATTTAAAATGTTATAAATCAATAAGTAAGATAATATGTCGTTAATCTAAAATCCGAAATTTTGTTTTGTAAACTTCTGTTTAATGTCTCAACTTACTATAATATGCTTTTAGTAGTAATTTAATGATTTTAATGTTCTATTTTGGGACTGATATGAGATACTTTAACGCCATTCATTTTTCTTTATCTTCTTTTGTCGACAAATGTAGAAATTTTATTACTCAATGTATAATCTTATGAAAAATAATAATAAATACTTATTTTCCTATATTATATCACAAATAATTCCATTGTCTTAAATTTTGATTCCACAGATGATTTAAGAATTACGAAAATCTATTTTTTATTATTATTGCTATTATATTTTGATCAGATTCTTATTGGTTTAAAATATGATTAAGTCTTAATTCCGTGTTCTATGATAGGTATTACGTTAATACGTTGACGATTCTCGTACATACCATTTGATAATTATTATTACCTAATGCTATTATATTATTTTTTTATACAGATTATGTTTTATATACATTATACGAGCTTTCAATAAGCCTACTATGCAGCAATAATATCTTCGCCAAAAGCCAAACATGATATTTTTCAGTATATAGCTTTCAATTTTTAAATAATAAAACTACTAACATTTTTTTTTTTTTTTTAATTCAAAGCATAAATACAATTGTACGCCTAATTATTTTATTAAATTAATATTTGTTTCTCATTTTGTTTTCTACACATTATTCAATTGTGGTTTTGACAATGTTATTAATGAAATACTTTTTGTTTTAACAAAATCATAATATTATTTATAAATTAAATAAGTTTTCTAATTATTAATTATAAACATTATTTCTATAATTAATTAACCACATGATATATTAATATATATCTAAGTTATTGACTTTCAAAGTTTGCATTTGTTTTCGATGATAAAGCAAAATCATATTGTTTGGCGTAGAGATTATAATAATATGGAAACCTCTCATTCTGTAATTATTATTCATTTGAATGGAATGAAGTTTTCAACGTCATTTCATCACAAACAAACTGCTTTGCGTAAAATAATAACTTTTAAACTTTTGTTTCAATTAGAGTTCAACGTAAATGATATTTGCAATGCCTTTCCAAAGTAAAATATATAATACTATATTCATTTTAAGTCGGTTACAAATGAGTTAGAAGAAAGAATTTAAAAACCTTCAACAAATATTGATTTTAATAAGACGTTTACACTATCTAGTAGTTGTAAATAAGTTTAAATTTTAAATTTTAAAAACTTTTCCGATAAATCAATTTTCAAAAGTCATTATGTTATTAATCAAAATATAAAAAAAAAAAAATGTGTTTATATGTATAGTAAATAGTTAATTTGTCCTACTAAACTGAATTACTTTGCTACTTCAATACAACTCGCTGGCTATTTCGTCTACATTACCTAATCTACATTTTCTTGAAATTTCAGGTGGAAATGTTTCTGTACCTGACAGGATTATATTATCTGTCAAAAACATTTTAATCCATGTTTATTGTACAATGTATTAAGTTATGAGTATTTCAATGTTACTATAATTTCTATACGTCCAAAAAACTCATTTGTTTCATTTTTTTTTCTGATTATCTTCTACAGAATGTTCTGAAAATAATGAGTTTTATAATAATTGGTGAAGGTACTATGTTTTTAAAACGTATAAACACAGTTACATAATATTTTATATAGTATTGAATTATATAAAGTATTTCACGAGTGTTTCAAGCCATCACAGTGTAATACGTACCTATAATAAAACGCCTTAAATTTATTTTAATGTTAAAAATCAAAAAAAAAAAAAAAAACGTAACTATATCTTAAAATACAGATTTCATTTCAATATATTATATAATAAATAACAAATAAAAGATATAATATTACAAAATTGTTATTGCAAAGTTAATTTCTTTACATAATTTTTAGATAATGTAATTTAAATATATACATGCATGATCATTTTACGACTTCATACATTTTTTAATGTTGACAAAATTACGTTATAATTCATATACTAATTAGTAATTTAATTAATATAGGTACACATTACCTTTTTAATTTTATTTTAGTCACTTAACTCAATAAACTTATGAGAATAATATATATATAAAAAAAATACAAATAAAATATTGAAAGCGTATTATAGGAATATTTTGATTTCAAATCAATAGTAGGATATTAAATTTGAATAATCAAATATTTTAATAACTACAAACATAACTCTGTAAAATTATTTCATAAAATTTGTAAAAATGTGATAGAAAAAAAATTAAAAACCTATTTTTTATTGGACTACTTGCTAGTTAAATTATGTTTATTACTATACACACAATTTTTTGTTTTGTTGCAAGGTCCGTTTGCATTGTATTGATCTTGTAAAAAATTCTTTTAATCGACTTTGTACATAACATAAAACTAATAGAGCATTGTATAGTGTAGCAGTAATTCACACAAAATACGTTTACTTAAAGCTAACATAACGATAACAATCGACTACATATGTTTACACAAGGAAACTTTCCTATAAAATACGCTGCATATTACCACATCTTAAGAGGACGTCTTAAACATATAGTGTTGTTATTTCTGCTTATAACATCATAAAATATACTCATTGAAGCAAAATTTACTATTTGCAAGATCGACTTACTATACTCTGGGTCCTATGTCAATATTGAATCGATATAAATAACGAAAGAAGAGACGATACGTTACCATCCGCAGTGTGGTGACGTATATCATTGTTTTTCAGCGTTTTGATTTTACATTAAGATACACACACAAATAAAAATTACTCAAAATGTTGTCGCAATGATCATCGAAAAACACTCGATGCTCTACTATAATAATACGATATTCACGTCCATCACGATATAATAACAATAATAATAATAATAATTAATATTATTATTGTCATCCTTATCGTATTACCGGTCGATATTAATGCTGATATTGACCCAGAAACTGATTCCGAGGCCGCGTCCATTACGGACGGAGAACAGCGAATCGATATATCAATGTTAGTCATCCTCCGTCCTTTTCCCGAAAACACTGGGCAACGCTCTCGGTGAAGGGGGAGGTCTACGGTTTTACCGGATTCGCGGGGTTGCGTCCCTCGCGTGGCTCACTACATGCCCGGAGGTGATATAATATATTCATATTGTTATACTCGCGGTGCTGTGTCCGCACAATGTGTTTTACTGAGGAATAAGCGCATGTGTATAATATTTCATACATTTTGAAAAACAAAAAAATAAATATGTTTTAATGATATTATATTAGTCCACGATCGGTGCGAAAGTGGATCGGTGCATGAATGGAAAATGAGACAACGCTGTAGCAATATTACATTCACAAATTCTCCTGAAAAATCTGTGAAAAATATTAGATCATTGATGTTATTATAA